CCCAATTTGGTCTAGTGGTCAACTGAGCTGGCCCGCCACATGGATCGAGAGGTTGGCTAAAACTGAGGTTCCAACATGGGCCCACAAAGCAATTATGGCACCATGGACACTTAGCGACAGTTTGGCAACCATTGCGAATACATTCCCAAACGATGGTTGCCACCTTGGCCCATAAAAAACACTGAAGCACGCTTAGGCCGAGCATGTCCCACACCTTTAATGGCAGTCCCTTCGGGAAAACTATCCGAGCAAATGTCCATATTTCACACACACACACTGGAAATAAAGAAGCCACCAATTACAGGAGCTTCATCATGGGTGAGCTTGTTTAACACCCAGGTGAGCTCGTCATAAAAGATATGTCTCGGGAAAAAACGGAACCCAACGCCAAGTTCAAGGCACTCCGTCCTCGGGAGGCATGAGCACGGGATCGAAGAGGGTGGTTTGCCTCAGGCCCGCCCGTCAATAAGCCCAGGTGTGCCTATTCAACGTGGCATGGAGCTGCTGTTTTGCGCCCGGATGAGGTGCGACGATGCCCAGTCCCCAGCGCGTCCAAGCACAGGGCGCTGCGGGCGACGTCATCGCTACCCCCCCCCCCACTTTGCACAGATCCCCAACAGCAGAGATGAACCACACGAAATCGCAAGGATTTGGCTACAAGACTCTCCGGAGCTCTCACCAGTCTCTCTTTCCTTGGTAACGGTGAAGTTGTGCATTTGAACATGTCATTGCGGAGTGGATGGTTCAAGTAGATCTTGCTTTGAGTCTGCGTTTCGTTTGCAGTGAGACCCTTCAGCTAGGCATGCCTTTCCGGCAAACACCCCCCCACCGGAATTCAACCGAACACCAGGCATGCCTTTGAGGCTTTCCTGCAGTCGCACACACATAGGGTGCGCCTCCAACTCGAGGCGTTGCTCCGCCGTGATCACGGCTAGCTGGCCAGACGGCTAAAAGGGACAATGACATCCACAAGGGCAAGAGAGCAAACAGCCTTTGGAGTCTGGCGTTGCTTGCAGGTTCCATGGTGGCGTAAGTCTGGAACTGCTTGCAGGTTCCATGGCGTGATTAAAACTCGGCAGCGGTTTTTCGGGAGACCCAGGCAAATCGAGGTGAGTATCCCTAGACCACACCTCTTAAGAACGCTAAGACTACAATTTGGTCTTTGACAGTTCTTCCCTTGGAGGTTCTCCCAAGGTTTGCTACAGGTTGTTCTTTTGAGCCCTTGGAGGCTGTGCCAGCTTCCGGCTTTGCCAAGGACTCAGTCTGGCTCACTGGAATGCGGAGAGTGGCTTTGTGGGAACTGGTGTTCCAGAGCAAGTGTTCTTGCAAGCATCCCCTCATTAGTACGGCACTGTTCCCTCAAACAAGCCTTGAAAGGCACTACTAAAAGGATCAAAAGGGGGGCGGGTCCTTTGGGGAGGGGGGGCTAGGGTTTTTCATGACCTTGCGTGCTTGGATCGTCCCCATCACACCCAACCTGTTCCAATCCAATCTGCCGAATCCCGCCATCCTTTCTCGACGAATCCTAGGGAACCCGTTGCCCAACCGCGCTTTGCCAGAACTGTGCCCTGCACAGAACCGTCTTCTGCACCATCTCCTCCTCTTCCTGCTCGGCCTGGCGATCAATCAGCGCCGAAGCGAGGCGGAAACTCCCCCAAACCTTCGATTGCCCCGGGTGATTTGCAGAAGCCCTTGGCTTTGCTTGACCCCTCCCACCAGCTTCTTAGGGCTACCCCAAGCATTGAGGTTTAGGCCAAACAATTCGAGGAAACCAACACATCACATGAAACCCCAAGGCGAGCAATCTCCACCACGGAAATGGGGACTCCTCAATTGCATACTTTCGATCAGCAAGGTTCCTTGGATGACGCCCTTTTGTCAGCTTTGCAAGAGAAGACATTTCGGTTTGTCTTCCAATAGCATACTGTGAATGCGCAAATAAATTGAATGGGGTGTTGGGGTACCGTTGACCCAACTTACATCATGATCATAGGAAACACATGCGTGCAATAAGTATTCAGCCGCCCTCACACGCACTTGTGCCAATCGTTAAAATCCCTTTTAAGGGGCTCCTTCTAACCGCAAGCACAAGGGTGATAGAACTTGTGCCGTGGTGCTGGGCGAGCCCTACAAAAGGCGACCGCAAATCCTTCCAAAAGAGGACCTTTGAGTACTTGGAGTGGTGCCATGGCAAAGAAATGGACAAGGCCCTAAGGACTGACCGGGAAACTCTGGGAGCCGTGTCTTCTTTTGGGGCAGAGGAGCCAAAACCAACCTTGGGGGGGTGGGGGGGGGGGGTTCGCTTCCTCACTTTGGCATAAAATTCAGCCAACACACACACACATACCCGACAGCGCCAGCTAGCAATGAGTCTGGTCTGCTTGTGAACCAAACAAATGAGTCAAAAGCAAAACGTGGCATTGAAGCGGTTTCAAAAAATCAAAGTGAAGACCCCGACATGTTGCCACACCTAGAACTGTGGTGCTCCTTTTGTTTTCCGTAAGAGTTCTCCAGAAACATAAGACATCAATCCACCAACAGGAACCTCGCTTTACATTGGACAAAAAGGTGATGTTCAAAACCAGCAACAGTCTAAGGGAATTTTGGGGTCGATTGCCCATCCCTTTCAATCTTTCTCCTCAGAAGATCTCAATTTCCTAAGGGTCACTTTTTTGAAGAACCTCCCCGACAGCGATGGAAGGTCCAGTCACGAAATATGGTGAGCCCTCGCTACCTGTGCCACCTCCTGCGCCACTCGCTGCAGCTTGCGCTGCTGGGCCTGTCAAACCAGAGTTGACCCCCCCACCCAAAAAAGGAAACCCAAAAAAGGAACCAACAGAAACCGAGAACCACAAGCAAACCGAAGAAGTGAAGAGCAAAAGGAAATACCTCGTGTTTGTTGGAAAGCGGCTGACGTCAGCCACACTTTTTGTACTGACTCAGTATGGGGTCTTGGCCCAAAGTGTTGGTGCTTGACCCCGGTGTTGAAGGTGTTTGGATTACCCTCCCACCAACTAAATGGAAGTGCAAAAAGGCCCTTTCCAAGAGGAAAGTAGTCTTTCTACAGGGGTCTGTGCACTTCCATGTTAGCTGGTGGGAGGGTAGCCCTTGCTTCATTCAAGATGCGGAAGCATGAGTAAACATGGTTGTTTCCACTCAGAGGCGAGCGGATGGATCTGGTTGGTCGGCAAAGTGACCGCAAAACAATGCATCAAACGGACTTAGCAACAGGAAAGCACTGAGCAAAACATGTGGTTCTGCCAAGATCGAGTGTCTGAAGCACACAAATGGTTTGCAACTAAAGTTTGTCAGACCGAGTCAGCAGTTGCTGTCAACGTCGGAGCTGTGTCAAAATCAGAGACCGCGTTTATCAAAAAGCAAAAGCCGCAGACCTGGCGTGTGATGAGAGGTTGGCTCCCGAAAGCTGCCAAGCAGGCTTGAGTTGCCACTCGGGTCCATCCGACATCGTCTTGCATTCGGTTAAGACCCCTGGAAAAAACTAAAAGTATGCCCAGTAGTGATACATTAGGGAAAATCACACATATTCTTAAGCAAATGGATTTCGTGACAACTTCACTGTAGTTATGTAGTTGTAGTCCATTGGAGGGTCCACTCCGCTTGGGCAGCTGCGGGATAAACCAGGTGAATGGGTAACTAGCCCTCCCGTCCTGATCTTTGCGGGCAATAATCTTGTTAGTGCCTCACATGCTCTCCTGCAAATAACATGGATTCATGAAGAGCAGGTATTCGAGGAGTCCGTGTTTGGGTGTCGAAAGAGTCTGGGTTAAACCAGCGCTATGGACTATGGAGACTCCGAAACCCCAAACCCTAAACCCCCAAGCCTCGGCCTTTCGGGCCTAAACCGAGGATTTAAATACGTTCAAACACTACTGGCAGAAAAGGGCAAGCGTGGAACCATCATGACTGACACAAGAAAAGGTGGTCAAACACGGAAAAGGCAATAGTCAACTCCCCACTCCCTGCTGGTTTCCTTCTGAACCCGGCACGGGGGCATCTCCAATTGGGGGAATCCGGGAAATGGGCGGCTTCTACTCAAACACTTGCCGAGGAAACAGCCTCTAGACTGCTTCCCTTGAACTGGATGAAAGGCCTGCGCGCGGATGGACTTCGGTCTCCGAAACTTTCCTCTCCCTGTGGGGTGTCCACTCTCGTGGACCCCTTTGCTAGCAGCCAAGAGTCGAAGAACTACAGTATGAAAAATCTTGGAACGCGACGCTCAAGTGAGGCCTCAGGCCGAACTGTGCGCCGAGTCACGCATAAAATATGATTCAAGCCGAGGACTGGCAGACGGTCACTTGGATGGAAGCTCCAAAGATAAACCCCTGTGTGTGCCCAAGATCAGCACAGCTGCTCGAATGGCAGCCATTTAAGTGTGCAATGTTCAACCTCCTTCATGTGTTTGCCCATCGATCTAAACACTGGATGTTCTAGAATGTAGTGGCATCAACGGTGCCCTGGCTAGATTTGTCTTGTTTTTAATCAACCTAAAGACATGAGGCTGCTTCACCACGAGGCTCAAAGCGGAAGTGGGCAGGCAAGTGACACACACACAGAGATGCAGTCCCGCGCCAAACGCAAATGTGAGCCGTTGACATGTGCCTTGCAGTGGACGCCAGAAACCCAACAACATGACGTGGCAAGGATTCTTTCGGAATAGTGGATTTGAAGATTTTCCGGATGATTCAATTTGCTACCCTCAGCAGACCACGACAACTCGCGCAGCAAATGCCATGCCGGCTACTGCTCTCTGCTTCCGCGAAGAAGGATCGAAAACTGGGAAAGCCTGCAAGCCCTGCAAACGGGGCGGACCCCACCATCGTTGGATTCATCAGTCTTGCTGGTTACTATCTCTCCCCTCTCTGGCCCTAATGACTCCATGTCTGAAGAGAAGGTCGCTACAAGAGTCATCAGAGCATGTCAAAATGATGGAAGTCCCACAAAACACGCGCCATCTCTCACTTTCCGAGCCGAGCACCTCGCTAAGCTCGCTTTCTGAAGGACAAGAAGGTGGCCCCAAGTGCCAACAGCGCCCAAATTGCAGAAGCCCCAAGGCCGAATTGCCGAACCCGGAGAGAAAGGTCCACTCCGCAAATGGCCACAAGCGTGCACACGACGACTATAGCCGCGGAGCGCAATGTTTCCACCCAGACTTTGGCATGTGGGCTCGAAAAACGGGTGCACATGTAAATGCAAAGTTGACAGCCCAGCGCCAGCGACACTTGCGCGCCAATGGTGCGCGCAAACATGAAGGACAGCACGCTCTGCCAGGGCGCCTGGCCCTTCATAAGGGACACAGTCTCCTCCAAACTCACGCAGAATCCAGGCGAGACGATGACCAGATAATACCGCAAGGGCATTCCGAAGGATGAGGCCAACAGCTCCTCTCGCAAAGGCCCCCGCACATATTCTGTGAAGGCCCCCGTGCTGCCGTAGCATTGCTCGATGCTGTCGTGCACAAACTTCTTGTCGAAGTCCCGTCGGCAGCCGGCGGCGTCCAAATCAAAGTTCGCCAAGGCCTGCAAAAGCTGGCGCTGGGTGTGCACACTTCCTGGCCAGCAAAAGCAGGTCGCAAAACAACTTGGCGGTGGTTGTCAAAAATAGGGTGACTCCAAAATGGCGCAAGCCCTGGTAAATGGAACCAAAGACCAAAACCTGCGGTCCAATTCCTGGTGGCTGACTTTTTGACCCACACTTGAGTAAAAAGCATCGCTGGTGGGCATGGGACTCCACAGCTAAAGGTCTTTGAAATATCGATATGGCTGTGGGTCAAAACCGTTTTAGTACCATTTTGGGGTAGGTGTACCACCCATTATAGAACCTATTTTAGTGGGGATTGGGATGTTCACTGGGGGTACGGGAATTTGACCCATGGCCATATCAGAAGGACTCCTAAGATGTCAACCTCGATCAAGGTTTCTCTGGTTAGGTACGCGGTAACAGTCCCATTGTCGCATCGCTGTACATGTTTGTGTGCATGTGGGTATATATATATTACATAATATATATATATATATATTACATAATATATATGTATACATATATACATATATTATGTACATATATATTATAGATATATACATACATATACGTACTCGTCACCAAAACAACAATGACGACCAGCAAAAACGCAGCCGAAGCTTCTTCGCAGTTTCTGAATGGCACAGCCAACTGGCACAGTTGCCAGCACCAATGAAGCGATCTTCGTTTGTGCAGTCACGCCCCGCACCCAAGCCGACCACTGCACAAGCGACAGAATGACCATGGTCAGCCACAAGCACAAGGCCGTAACCTCCAAATGGACAGGGGCCAGAGTAATTTTGCCGGTGGGATTGGCCTTGCGGTACATGGCGATCTCAAACCTGAGATGCAAATCAACCACAAAGGGCTTCGAAACCAACCAAGAACACGGCAACAAGGCACCAACAAACCGCAGGCCAAGAGACACGCACCAAAGTCTTGAAAGGTACAAAGGTGTCCACAGTATACGCAACTCCTGGGAGATGCTCAGGAACCCTCCGATTCCGTACACACCTTGTTCCATCAACTGACCATCCGCCTGATTGATGCTGACGGCATCCAGAAAGCACATCATTGATTTGAGCTGCGGTAGGTAGGGCCATGCAAAGATTGTGACGAGGGAGGCGAGGTTGCTCAGCAAGATCCAGCATCCCAAGGGGTAGGTCTCGGGCAGGTTATCATCCTGCCGCCGAAAGGGCAAGGGCAGGATATCCATCATGCAGAGGCCAAAAATGAGCGCAGCGGCAAAGGCCCAAACACAGAAAACCACTGGACAGGAAGACTGCAGCAGCAGTGCGAGGTACTTCCAAGTTCCCGGCGAGTGCCATGTGTGTGAGAGAAAAATATCGAACTTCTTGACTGGGGCAGAAAGCTGCCAAAGCCTTTCTCGCTGTTGGAGTTCCAAGTCCATGGGGGAAGCTTTCCAAAGGCGGCCGAAGGCTCTCAAGGCATGGTGCAATGGGATTCCACGGGCCAGCTCCGCATCCAGACTGAACTGCTTCCCCCCCTTGCTTGGAGGCTGCGGGACGGCGATAGGCTCGGCTGCAGTGTCCTGCTCGTCCACCAAGAAACACACTTGGCACCAATTAAACCGTAATCAAATCAGATTTCGCTTTTGGAACAAACAACACATCCAAGGCAAAAGCCCTTCACCTTACAAACTGAGTCCTCACTCGGCGGCCACTCTGGGCCTTGCCCAGAAATGGACTCGATCTGCGGTCCCGCGGCACAAGTGGTGCAGTCGAAGGATCGGCATTCGCCGGGGGAGGCACCCGCTCCCATGTGACTCTGAGCTCACCCCAAACCAGGCATTAGATAGTCTCGGCCTTTCTTACTTTCCAGTCCTTCAAGCTGACCTGCAAACCGTTCATGTAACCTTGATACTGTTTCGCCACTGGAGCTGCGCAGCTGCGGCGTGAAACACGCACGCGTTTTTCATGCCCATGAAATTTGGAAAAACAAAAAACATGTCCCCGAGGAGTGGCCCAAACACTTCCAACCGTTTGGCCTGCCACCCGGATGGCCCTTCGACAAGAAAAACAACAAAGCTCTTGAGCAAACCAATTTCCCAAGCCCAGGCCGATGCACCAACTCCGCGGCCCAGCGGCCTGCTGCGTCTCCGCGGCCTTCTTCTGCTCCTACCCATAAACATCAACTCGGGGAGATCGTTTTTTTTCAAACGCCCGTGCAATTTTCAAGTTGCCTGAGGTGTTAGTCAATAGGACATATGGCCGAAATTCTAGTCCAACTTGACTCACTCGAAAGGGCAAACTTCAATTTGTGTACTGCGAACAACTCAGACGGCAACCACACAGGCACACAAAAACAATCGGACTGCGCCGGGGCCTCGAGCTTGCTGCTGGCTGACGCGACGGCAAAGAAACGCGGTCAAACCAAAATGGAACAAAGGCGGCCCGAATCAATAACAGCCCGAGCCCTTGCCGAAATCACGCTTCCTGTTTGGCGGAAATTCGCTTCATCCGGGGAGCTTCGATTCGTCGAGTCCAGGCGCCAAGCTGCCAAATCTTTGAGCACCGACGAAGTAGCCAACCGGCCCGCCCGCGAATAAGGTGGCGTGAGTTGTCGCCAAACCTGGTTCTCTGAAAAATCGTCATCAGCCGCCTGAACTGCTTGCTCTGGCTTTGACGCTTTGACCCGGAAAACTCAGGCTGTCACGGCTGGCCTGGCTGCTTCTCGGGCCCCAGACTTCCAGCTGCGGTTCTGGCAGCGAGCCCTAGACTTCGGACTGTCCACAGTCAGGCGTTGTCACAGCTGTCTGTCACAGCTGTCTGCCACAGGCTCTGTCGCAGCTGGCTGTCACAGGTCTGTCGGCGGGCCGTTTGGTCGGAAGTCACTTAAAACCTAACAACCCCAAGCCTGTCATGTTGGGGAAAACTTCCAACTCAGTCAAATTGGCCAATGGTGCATCTTGACTCCGCAAAGACAAAGAGGAAAATGAGTCCTAATACGAACCTAGTATTTTGGATTGTGACTTGAAGACCAGTGCCGGAAAATTCAAAAGGCCCAAAGGTAGGCTGTGGACTCTCAAAGCAGTAGACTGCATAAGCCATACCAGCCGCGCTCTTGCATGATTTCTTGTTTTGCAATGCTTAGTGGCTTTTAGGTGACCAACTGAGACGTATCACAAATTGGCAAACCACCACCACGGCCTGTCCGAGGGCAGGAGGAAATTCAACAAAAGCAATCAGAAGCGGCTGCCACTATACTGTTGTTGGTGTTGGGCGCCTTGCTGTTTGGAAACCCGGCTTTGGTTGCTTTACTTGGGCTTCGGGGTGACCAGCATCTATTCTTTGAAACGAACCAACGTAAAGGTTCCTATTCCGGGAACCACAACCAGGTAACCATGGTTGGCGATTCGACCTTGGCACATATGACTCAAGGACTGGGTGGTGGATATGATACCTGCTGCGGCAAGCCTGAGAATCCCATTGACCTGCTTTGGGCATATGATTTGCAGATGCAGCGCGCCTGGTACATCTGGGCTACTTCGCATGTGTTTCGACTCTTCGCTTGTTGGTGACCAGAAGAACAGGCGCGGCTTGAAAGTGCAGGTAAACCGTACCCGCTTTTGTACCAATAATGAAGGGCGAAGCTGTGGATGTGGAGTAAGTAGCATGAAAAGCCTGTCTTGCTGAAGAGCTAAATCACGACACCTGCTATTGTCCTGAGGTTATAAGGACACAATGCGAACCCCTGGCATGCAACCAGCACGCGGAACAGAACCAAAGCACATATGCATACCAGCTAGGCATTGGGCCCGCGATCACAAGCCCACGCAAGATCGCTGTGCCCAGAGATAGCAAGAACGCTCAAAAAAAAGACGGGTGTGATGGGTAGCCAAGCAAACTGCGCCAGGTCGCTAGAAGTTGCCACCATACGAAGGAGAAGGGAGGCTTAACAACAGGTTAATGAACGGCTACATGGGGATTATTCAACGGCCTTTCGCGTTTCTGTCGGCTCAGTTTTCCTTTCACGGGGCAAAATAAGTCTTGAAAAGCGAGCTTTCCAGCAATTGCTTTCTACTCGTCTGCTTCTTGAGATGCAGTTGAGCCACTTGACGATGAACTAGTGGAAGTGTCACTTTCGTGGCCCCCATTTGGGAGCTCGCCCGTCGCGTTCCTTTCGCGGAGCTCGTCGGTGAAGCTCGGAGTTCGTCCGCTCCACGGGGAAAAAGCAAACTCGAAAACAACTGTTGTCTTGCCAACAGCAAGAAACCCGCAACAAAACACGATGTCGTTGTCCGTATTCCGTTGTCTTGGCTTGAAGAAGGGGCCAGTCAAATGGATTAGCCACGAAAGGCGAACCAAACAGATCACCCAGAGCTGATCGACGCGCAACGGCCTTCTCCCTTGAAGGCAAACCCAAAAGCCCGACGTCGTGGCCGGCCTGGCGCGGGAAACGGAAACAAGAGGACACGGGTGTCTCTTGCAGAGGCGCCTTGTTTGAGGTGTGAAAGGGAAGCCTGGAACCCATTTGCGGAACGGAGTTTCATGGTGATTTGGTGTCCTTCTCTTGGAAGGTACCCGTCGGGGTTGCTTTGGGGCAAAGAAAGGCCCCCCAAAAGAAAGGAAGACAAGCAGTCCAACAGTTCAAACGCATGCAGGTCATGGTGCTCAGGGCCTGAAAAGGTGAAGTCCTACGCAACTGGATGAGTGATCGATCGGGCATGACCTCTTCTTAGAAGCGACCTGGTTTGCAGCCCCTTCACCAAAAATGGGCATACCACGAGCAGAGAGAAGGGAGCGTCTCCACAATGATTGGTCGATTTCTTTGTGTCCAAACCGCTAAAATCCACCGAGCGATCTGGGAATCTCCTAAGATCTCCTCTTGGAACAGTCGGGAATCTCTAGTTCCACAGGAATTGTCTGGGAGATGATGCTGGCTTCTGGGTCCAACTCGAAACTCGGCTACACCTCCAACGTGGGCCTAGGAGACTCCTTCAACTTAACATATCGGAGTTGATGAAAAGGTGGGGTAAACATGGGATGACGGTTGGGGGAAACCACTGAAAAGAAGATTGCTTCCCATTGAATGGGAAAGGTTGCCCATGGTCTTTTGGGGGCCGAGAATATTGATCAGCCCGAAAGGGGTGGTTTCCCATTTACCCTGTACAGTGCAAATCCCCAAACCACCAATCCAAACCACCCACTACGGGTTACCTAAACAGAAGGGTCCCAGGGGTGCTGGGTGTTGGGCGAAACCACCGTGGCTGCTCTGCTCTTTTTGCAAGAAATCCTGCCCCCCCCCCCCCACCCCAGGAGAGGGGGCTCTCGGAAACAAGTGCCTTTATATTACTCTGGGTGAGCTATATAATGCTTTGGCAACCTGAAGCCCCTAGTTAGCGTTTCACTGGTAAGGCGGAGTCAAGGAACAATCAGTTGCCCAAAGGACCAGAACTAAAAGGTGATCACCTTTTGGCACTACCAAAAAATGGAACCCAACATGGGAAAACCATGTTGGTCGTTTCAGGTCGCTTCGCTTCGAAAACACCAAGGCAACCACCAAACAACAGCGCAGAACCAGCCAAGTCCAGCTAAGAGTTGTCGCCTTCCGCACCGCCTGCCGCATCCTCGGCAAAGCCTGCCAGGCTCGGTGAATGGATTGCTTTTCCCGTGGCTTTTGAGTCGCAAAGCGAATCTTTTGGAGGCAATGGATTGCAAATGAAGGCAAACTTCATTCGGTTCCAATCCATGGTGAAAACCGCACCCTTTTTCGTGAGATGACAAGCGGGATTCCCACCCCCATAGCCAGGTTGTCGCTGAAAAGAAAAAGATCAAATCCGCTGGCAGTTTCGTTCGAATAACATTGTCATTAGTCATTGCAACCAAGTTGCGGGTGCGACAACGCGGCATTTTATTTTCCCAGACCTGCTTTGGCCAGGAGAAAAAATCGAGCCCTTGTTTGGCAGCTGAATGTTAAAGGGGAGCCCCCTCCAACAAAACAAAGCACCACGGGAGGTCTGGGTTGCAAACGTGTGGGAGGGTTCTGGGGCAGTGGGTGAGGTAAAGCAATCATGTTTGTGGAAAACCCCCATTTCTGTGATACCACAGTGGTCCATTCCAATGACTGCTTTAGCACCCTGAAACATGATTCCCCTAAGGATGTCACAGAAAGCGGCAACCTCGACACCATGAAAGCAGTTCTCAGGAAGAAACATGCAAAGGCACCCCCCTGCCTTCCTAAAACAAACACGAACAAGCGTCAACAGAATGGATGTGAACAGATCACGAAAGATACTTTCAACAAAAACACATGACAACAAAAGAGACATGTAGCTGAACACCCCAAAGTGGGAAGTCATGGACTGATAGCCTGCGTCCGGTTTTGGCCTTTACCTGTACAGAGATGATAAAGACACGTGTTAATCCAAGAAACGCAAACTAACTCATGTCGAGCCTTGGACAAAAAGATGAAAGACAGCTAGCCTCCGAACAGGTAAGGAAGAACCTGACACGAACAGTTTTGACAGTCCTGGACTGAATAGTGGTCTGGTTTCGTCACCGAGTCCCTAAAACCGATTAAGATTACGCCCAGGTGGCATCCACCCTCTGGAGCCCTCCGGAACCCTCCCTGAAAGCTGGCCCAAACCACCCCAAAGATCGCCGATTTCTGGGCCTATCGACCCCCTAGCTTTCAGCAGTTTAACAAAAACACCACCCCAGGGCTCATTTGGGCCTATCGCACAAACCATGGCTTTCATCTGCTAGGCAAAAACAATGGACCCTTGTCAAGCGACGCCTGAAAGAGGCGATCGCTTTCAACCAACGCGGCAAGGTTTGTCATAGCCCCCGCCCCTCATAAAACTTGAAAGGGAGTCAGGGACTTGAAGCCCTCACCAGCGCATTGCTCTGCAAATTGGCCCATGTCGCAAGTCACCCAAGGGAAAATCACCAAACATCGGTCCAAGTGATGCTTTATGCCCGAAGGGACCTTCATGGGGACTCTGCTGTTCCAAGCACAAACCTGTTTCTCGACCTCCATGTTGGAAACAGAGTTGCTTCGTTCAGGGCAAGCGAGCACTCCCCCCCCCCCCCAAGCGAGCCCGCGGACAACGGCGCCCGGTTGCAGCGCACCAGTCCACAGGCCTCGTGGTCCGCCAGGTAGTAGCCCGCGCTGTAGAGCTCGTCCCGCGCATCCTGCGAAGGCTTCCCGAATGGCTCGGGGCTTAAGTCCTGACTTGCTGGCTGGTCCTCAAGGCAAAGGAGAAATGGAATGAACCCAGGCTTTGGCCAAGGAAACCGCCAGGAGGGTTTATCTCGGGGTCATTCCAGGCAACTCGTTCCCTGCCATCCCTCGCATCGATCGCAAGCTTGTTGACTCAAAAGCAACCCCATGAGATTCCCGGAAAGCTGCTCCCAGCGGTTCAGGGCTGCTTCCGAGCGCCTGGCTGAAGGGAAGATTGATCAAGGGGACTTTGAGAGCAAGGCAACTTTCGGTGCTTTGTTCATGAGGCTCCGCGCACCGGAGGAATGAGAACTGCGATTCCAACAGATTTGAGCCAATTGAGGGCTGATCCAAAGGTCCGATAAACATGGGATGAGCATTGGTTATTGTACAACCACAAAAAAAGGATATGGCATGTTAACCGCGAAATGTTGGAAAAGCTACTGGTCATTTGGGGGCCGAAGGGAATCCTCTAGGGGTACCTTCCCCATTCTTTCCAGGGATCCTTCTTTCCAGAAAACCTCCGGAAACCCAGGGAAAACGGCAGGTTTGTGAAAAGAACGATGATTGAAAAGAATGGGGAATCAACCCCTGGAAATCTTGATCAGCCCCCAATTCCAGATTAAAACAGGAAGGGACTCCCGTCAGCTGGCACCTCCAGTCGCTCCCGGAACTCCACGCAGATCAGCTGAACCTCACTCACAAATTCGGAGGCTTCTAGGCTAGCCACGGAGAGAATGTCGGATGCCCTATCCCTGTGACTTGGACTTCTAGGTCCTCCAGTAGAGAGGTTTGAATAAGGGTACCAACTTTTTCTGTAGTCTATTTTAGTAGGGGAACCCTCCCCCAACAAAGGAACGGTAAAAGGGCTCTACTGGGGGACCTAGACTGTAGAGGCGCACAGCCTCACCCCGGATCTGGTAGAGTAAAGCTTGGACAAGGTTCAACCCTAAGGATTCAAATCGGTGGTCGCCTTATATGGGAGTCATCAAAATGAACAAAGTTCCCCTTGTTCCCGTTATGTTCAGTGGATCCACAAAAGACGGTCACCCTTTGGGACTTTGACCAGAAATAGGCCACTTCGAGTAAGCTTGCAGCGGGGAGCTGAGGCCCCCAATCCATTGATATTCCCAGAAGATGGGCTACCAAAAATGGAGTTAACCATGTATTGGATGGGAGGAGCTGTCGACATCACTGACATTTTTCACCCGCGGATTAATTAATTCACAGGACATTGTTTTTTGGGCGCATATTTTGCAGGGGAGCATCCGGCTCCCAAGAGGGCAGCACAATTTTTGGCAACCCTCCAGTGCGATTCAAATGTGCAACCCCTGCCTGATTTCGCCTATCCTCCTCCTTCTCCCTTCTGCGGATGAAGGGCCGCAGCTGCTCTGCATACCTGAGAAAACCGGGCTGCTGCCCATTGAAGGAGGGGCTCTCCGCGTACTGCTCCCCCCTTTTTGGAGTTCTTAGAATCTTGCTGTTAGAAGGGTTTCTTGAACTTTGTCTCTGCAGGCCGGACGTGGATTCCAAGCTCGCGGCCACATCTACCAGTCCAAACGCGTCCCGTGCCCACCCACCAGTATTTCTTCCAAGTGATTTGAGGAAATCCAGGTACCTTCAACCGAGCTCTGCATGCCGAGAAAAAAAATGAAATCATATCCCCAGCCCTCTGGATCCCCGATTGTTGATACCTTCGCTCTGATTTGTCTGCCGCTCGGGTAGCATGGGCCAACGGAGGTGTATGGGTGGGATTCGAGAGGTTCAGGCTGAAGGACCCACCGGGAAACTCACAAACCTGCCAAGAGATGTGAAGCAAACCTGGGCCAGAGCACCACCCAGAGCACAACGCCATTTTTCATCCCGGCCTGTGGCTCGGTGCTAAACCTCCGGAAACGAAACCTCACCTCCCCCCCCCCCCCCCAAACCTCCCTCCCCCCCAACGCTCTGGGCCCGAGGCTCGGAGAGATCGAGGTAGCCCAGAGGCTCCATGGCCAGGACCAGGTCGAAGCACTCCTCGGCGGTTGGCCCGTCGAGTCGGCGGTTTGGACGGCAAGACCTGGAGAGTCGGGCTTGCTTCCCCAAATGGCCACATGGCTTCGGCTCAAAATTTGGGGCACCAGAAAGCAATTGCTAAGAGAAAGCAAAGAGGGATTCCCCCAAAAAACAAGGAAAGGTGAGAAGGGTTCTCCAGAAACCAATGAATCTGACAAGGACGTTGCCAAATGGAAACCCGAACGTCGTGGCTGAGGGTGTCAATTGGCACTCACCCCAAAAAGCAAGTTGCAAGTTCGGTGGCTCGTCTTCTTTTGGGGTATCATTTTTGGTGGCTTTAAAGGGAAGCCAAAAGGAACAGCCATTTTGGGGTTGCCTAGAAGCGACAGACCCATATTAATATGGAGAGTGCAAGCGAGTTCTTGGCAGCTGGGTCTCCCCGCGGGGGACCCCAGATGCCGATCTTGCGCAAGCGCCTTGCCAGGTTGTATCCCGTTGTCTGGGTGCGCAAGTTTTTTGTGCCCCAAAATAGGCGGAGAAGTGTACCCTAAACCCTAAGCCCAGAAGTACTGTTCACATGGCCTCCTTGGTTGCCTTGAGCAGTTTCTTGCTTAGACATGGTTCAAGCCACCCATTGACTGACTGACCTAAGCCGAGGATTGGTTGCTTAAGATTACCCAAAGGCTCCTGCTTTCAATGGAAGACCCAACCCCTCCATTAGACACCCCGGGTGTTTGGGGGTCTCAAAACCTGGCTTTTTGAAGGCCCTAAAACAGTCGGGAGCCTCCTTATTCCTCTCTACTGGAGGACCTAGTTGATGTTCCCCATGTCCTTGTTCGCAATGATTTGACCCATCCCACAAAGGGTAGACATCCCTATCTTAGGTGCAAACCCGGCTGAGCGTCTGGGTGCAAATTACGCTGCCACACTCCGGTGAAGGACTAGGTTTGGGTATCAGCCCCAGCTGATAAGCTTGGCGGAGGTGAAGCAATGGGCACCAAAATGGGGAAGCATTTTTGTTCACCCTTCAAACCTTTTGTTCAACCCTTCATCCTTTCTACCAAAATACAATCTCAAGCCAATTCAACAATTTACCAGCTGATTTTCAGGATGCCTAAAGCAAATATTGGGATCTATCCTGAAGGGAACACTTAAGAAACATGGCTCCGGACTTAAACGACAACAGCTTGCACTTTTCTTTTGAACCAAAGCAATGGGTCTGACCCCCAACCCGGGCGTCCTTTCCGATCGCTTTGGGTTTCTTCAAAGATTTTGCCCAAGAGGTCCTGCAGGCTGGTGAAACCATCAACAGCCTTGCAAGAGAAGTGATTCAGATCGATCCATGCACTTGCAATCGGCAACACAAGTGAAACTTGTCCGAACTTCGAGCCCTTTACAGACTTCCCGGGACCTATGGGAGAATCCGTTCGCAGAGCTTTTGAGGTGGGTTACCTGGTTGCTACGAAGCAATGGAAACCACGTACCTCCAAAGAGCCAAGTGGGCATGTCTTTTGAGGATACCCTTATTATGGTTGCTTTGAAGGGCACATTTGCTAGTGTGTGTGTGTGTGTGTGGTTGTCATGGCTTTGTTCGTTCATTGATTCAGTCTTTGCATGCCCCAACACACAGGTGTGTGAAATCATAGTTTTAGCGCTCCAAATGGTCAATCAGGCGCAATAGGCCAGAACGGAGAGCAACCAAACTAGCAACATGCATATATTATGCTTCCACTGTGGATGCTTAACATTACTGGAAACAGGGGAAACAAGGGAACTCACATTGCATTAAAAAAAAAAAAAAACGGCACCAGTATTTTGGGGTTAGATGGGTCTGGGTCCAAAATACGTACTCAGAATGGGTTGCCCTGCTAAATAAAACAAGGACTAAAAGCGGTCCATATCCTGGTGGCTTAACTTTGACTCACGTTCATAGTTGACTTGCTTTACAACGAAACTGGACTCCGCCGTAAGTGCCAAACGGAACCTTGGAGGCTTGCACATCCATTCGACGAGTTCCAAGTTCCCAGTGTTTTGGCACGTCTCCCTATCCCCCTTCAAAGATCATCCACCAAAACGGAGTTCACCTAAAACGGGGACCAAACAAATGAGTTGACACTGGCCTAAGATAGGGATGTCTACCCTTTGTGGGATGGGTCAAATCATTGCGAACAAAAACATGGGGAACATCAACTAGGTCCTCCAGTAGAGAGGAATAAGGAGGCTCCCGATTGATTTAGGGCCTTCAACACAACCTGGTTTTGAGACCCGCGACCACCTCCGAGGTGTCTAATGGAGGGGTCGGGTCTTCCATTGAAAGCCCATTGAGCCTCCGGGTAGTCAATTTTAGTAGGGGAACGCTCCCCCAAAAAAGGGTGAGCACGGGCACTGGGGGACCCAGGCAAAGAAAGAGCCCAACGGACCTTTCGAATCTTCCGAATCCATCTTCCCGGTTCCAGCCTCGGGCGCTGGCAGCAGCACGGCGCTGGTCTTTGGGCCCAAGCCACCTACGAGCAGGCCCTAATCCGAGAAAAGGGGTGTGGCTCAACATTAAAGAGCCCTGGCTACGTTCTTTTTTTTTCAGTTTTGGGTCCCATTTACCAAGGTGCCATTTTGGTACGTGTTATTGAGCCACAGCCAAATGGTTTTATGATGGACAAATTACATGATAAAGAGATAGAATGTAAAAGAAAGGAAATCATAAAACAAATGAAAAGATACCAAAATAATAAAATCCAGATATTTGTACCTTCCCCTGCCTCAAGGTCAGGTCTTAGAGTTAACGGCTTGCGAACTTGTCCTTGCGCGCGGCTCATATTTATTCCTATATGTTGTATGTTTCTTAGGTTTAATTTTAATTGTTCTTTCTTCGTTTATGCTCATAATGTTTATTAAGCCAAATAGTATTCTTCTTTTCGCCCAGCTTCGCTGGGCTAATATTAACTAGGCGTGCATATGACAGTTTTGCTGGGTTCGTCAATCTGCAGGTCCATGTCAATCTACCTGACTCGATCCTCTTCATGGCCCTTGAATGCAAGAGGCTGGCAAGGGCTGCAGAATCCAGTTAAGGCCCGAGAGGTTTTTCGCTCAGATATTGCCCACTGCTGTCCAACGAAAACCAACATCTAGCAGTTCGCCCATTTCCACAGATCTGAGTCTTTTCAAAGAACCCTGCCACCAAAGGGTTTCGTTCAGAAATGGTCTTACAATGTGTGTCTTGCAGGACGCCCAGGTCAGGTACCATGTCAGGAGTAAAAACGGTGGATTCTGAGACTAGGGAGCTCAGGTCGCATCTTATTTAACGCAAGGTCATATCGCCGCCCTACATATCTCCACCGCCCCTTCAGCTCCGAGCCGCCTTTAACGTCTGGCCAACGTCGATGCTTGACCCAACTTTTGAATGCAAACCTCCAAGAACCAATAGCAAGTGGCGCTGTTCTTGAGGCCATGAGAATCAGGTGCGTATTCTTTAAAGGAATCAATCCAGTGTCTTGCTTCGCGAAAAATCCACGGGGAAAAAGCCATTTCAGTTGGCTTCCCCAGGCCCAGGCCCTGAGGCCGGGTCCAAGCCGCTCCAAGGTGGTGTCAGCCAGCACAACCTGCGTACACCGGGCCCCACCTGGGGCTCTTCGGAATTTATCGCTTGACTTTGGGGCAAAGTGGAAGACTTCTCTTTGCCCCTCTTAAAGGCTTCAACCCGGGTCCAGGATATCACCAACTTGATTGTAGCTGCTTCAGCCCCACTGAGAATGAAGAACAAACCTTATGCCACCAATATTTGACTGCGGAGATTCATATGATGCCCAAACATGTTGTTTTTTCTTCTTTGTTTAATACCGGAAGTCGCATACCCAAACATGATCCTTCGGCGGCGCAGCAGCCAAAGAAGGGCCACCCAGACATAGGAAACATCACGAATGGGAAGCTCCGCAAAACGGGGGAAATCCAACAAAGGCCCACACCCTCAGCCAACGGAGCTAAACAGAGTCCTCAAGCCTCTTGAAAATGGTTGGTTTTGTTTTGAGTAGTTCCAAGCCGAGCCCCCCAAACATTATTTCATTTCAGCTGCATATCCTTAAAAGAGCAATTCTTGGGCTCAACCAGGGTTCGTGAACAGGTATATCCACAAATTGTAGAAGTCATTGTCGGCCGAATTCGGGGAAGAAAAAAAAGAGTCAAAATCAACTAGTTGCTTCTAGGAAGCGACAAATGAACCTGCTTTAGATCCGAACCACGCGACATCCCCAAAAACCGGCCCTCAGCTCGTGACGTGCTTCGCTCCTGCGCTCGTGCCATGTTTTTGTTCCCTTCTCCGCTTTTCACTTTGGCCGCATCCATGGCTTCCGCCAAATCCAGGAGAACGGCGGCGTCGGCGGCCGCGTAGCCTCAATCTCATCGTGTGCTATAACTTGCTGGTGCTCAGCAGGGAATGAGGGAATGACCCCTGTAAACCATCCCTTGTGGTTTCCTTTAAGGGGATCCATAAGGGCCAGTGCACAATATTAAGATGTGGTTGTGGGATACTGAACCAAACTACCCCAGGATAATTGTTTAGCCGCTTAAAAATCCTAGCTGCTTATACTATCTCCTGAAGTAAACCCCAAGCAAGGAACCCTCAACATGGGTGAGCTCCTTTTTCTCAGTTGCAACCCTAGGCTAGGCCCGCAAATTTGTCAGGTGATCACTGAGACCAAGACAACCTGGCCATCAGAACTCAAATGCCTGGGCCCGTCTGCCCCCATCTCCGATTAGTTGTCTCTCGATTCCCTCTCAACATGCCTTCCGACCTTTGACGGTTGCTGGGCCTCTGCTGAGCAGCTAAAAATCAATGACTCGCGGCCCACCAAGATCGTATATGCATTTATATATGTCTACTACAGCCCTTACCATAACCCCCATGAATCCAGGCAGTAGAACCACATACTGAAATGGCCAACGATGGCTTGGGCTCTGCTCGATTGGGCAATCAAAGAGTGGGGGGGCAATCGCGGGAATGGAAACAACTTCTGGGAGTGCACGTCATCCGTGCTTGCTTTTCACTAGTCCCTGCGTCTCTCTTCTGAAAAGTGTACATGGAGTGAAGGTCAGCGAGCAGTTCCACTCAAGCGATCAGACATGAAAACGAACTGATCAGCCCTGGCAGCGCCATAAGCTGATTCCGTGCCTTTGTTTCAACCGAAATGGATCCAAGGGCCAATTCCCGTGGCTGATGTCCTGCTGGCATCCTTTTGAAAACCGTCAGGACCCCGCTGGTCCCCTGTAGCGTTGTGTGCTCTTGCATCCATGAACGTAAGCTAAAAGAGGTAGTTGAGGCCAACATTGTCCTTTTGCCGAACCTAGACAGGCCATCAGAGAGGTGTGTTCCTCTGCTTGCTCCTTTTGGGGGCAATCCTCCAAGTGTTTAACGCAAAATGTACAAATGGCAATGCCAGTTGGCCCCATAGCTTACTGCAGACGTTGCCCCCAATTGAAAATAACATCGTTGGATTCTGGTTCTGGTGAACACTTTAGCGGGCCCTGGTCAGTTTGCTGCTTCACGTAGAAGCCCTTACGTTGCTGGGCCGTCCTCAGATCCTCTGCTAAAAGTTTAACTTTTAGTGGGTGAAATGGAAACCACCACTAAACCCTAAAAGCCTAAAAAGCTAAGGAACCGGACGGCTGGGGGCCGCCAAGTTTCGGTCTCCCTTTTCAACCAAGGTGAAACCTCCAAAGCGTTGTTTTACATGGCCATCCTTGCGAAGGGAAACCAAATAGGGCTGGGGTCCACCAAGGTTGGTTGTCTAAAAACTCCCTCGTGGGACGCCACACGATCAGACTGAATGACAGGTCGGGGAGCGGATCTGCTCGGCGGACAACGGCCGCTGGTCCCAGTCGGAGCACTGCAGTGACTTGTCCTGTGCTAAACGTCCAAAGGACCTCTGATCATCGAATCTCACAGCATCTCCCGAAAGAAGATGGAAACTTAAACTGTTGAAGCATGGCTCTGTTGTTTTTCTTCTCTTTTTTTTCGGGGAAGTCCAAAGCGGAATTGCAGAGACGGACGGGTGACTCATGTCCACCTTCTGTTCTTGCTAGGTGCCCGTCTCTCTTCGGAGAACGTCTCACCCATTCACCCGACTGGAGAGAACACCCAGCGGGACAAAGGCTTCTGCTTGGTTGCCATGATTCAGAAACCCCCTACTGAGGGGTTCCGTACGGAAGCAACCGCGGTGCCCGTGATTCGAGTTGCCAAACGTCCCTCTCGCAATTTAGCCCCCAATCCCTTGCGACAGCTCGGTCCCACTCATGACACACCACGCCGTAAACCACCCGACTGAACGCAGCCCTTGCAGCCACAGGTGCCAAGTGCTTTTCCAGGTACAGCTCGCAGAGTTTGCCGAGGCCTGCCATGGCGACAAAAAAAAGAGACAAGAAGCCGCAATCAGCTTCTGGTGGCTCCTTTTTACCCCCCAAAAGGGACACTCCCAGTCCCAGTCCCAACTGTTCGTGTCCAACTACCTGCAGGTGGCCTCAAATGGCGCCCTCCTGGATCAAGTGCGCGGCTTTTGGCTCAGTGCTGTGAGCATAGGTGTCCTTTTAGGGGAAATAGGTGGCCCTGTAGATGATTAAACCACCAGTTAAACCAGTGCCATCTATTTTTTACCAAAACAACCAAAAAGGACACCTATGGCTGTGAGATCACTTCCCTTTGCCAGGGAGGGGGCGGCGAGCCTGACACATCATTGCCCACTCCAACCGGAGCAGTCCCAACGATTGCGGGGGGACGGCAAATATGGCGAGAGGAACCAGGCCATAAGGCCGTGCACTCCAGGTCGCTTCATCCATCCATCCATCCATCCATCCATCCATCCATCCATCCATCCATCCATCCATCCAAAACAAACTGTCTGTTGACTGCGGCAGACCGTGACTCAACTGTGACACATGACGCTGACACCTGTAGACTGGCCATAATCTTGAACCCATGGAAGTGGCAACCTGAGGCGCATTTCTCCGGGGCATTACCTGTGCATGTGTCAAAATGATTACTCCTCTCTCAATGAGGCAACCTCCAACATGTGCTCTTTATCTCGCTGGCTACGCAAGTCCATAGCCTGACTCTGACTCTGCTCCACTGAAAGTTGAAGTCGGCCCTAAACCCCGGGCTGTCCTAAAAGTTGAGAAAAACCTCGCGGGTGAATTGGAAACACCACTCAGCCAACCAAAAAGAACGAACAAATAAGACAAAAACCTCCGGAACCTGAAGGCTGGCAACCACCAAGAAGTTTCAACACCTGTTCGTTTTGCGCCCCAAATGGATCTCATCCATCCCATCTGCAAATCTTACCGCATGTCCAAAACCTGATAGAAGCAATCCCCAAGCAAAAGTGGATCTTTACTAGGTCCAGTAGAGAGGTTTCAATAAGGGTACCAACTTTTTCCTGTAGTCAATTTTAGTAGGGCAACCCTCCCAAGAAACGGTAAAACATGTGCACCTAGCAGGGGGACCTAGTTTACCATGGCTCAGCTGTTCAGTGACCCTGGGAAAAAAAAGGAAACCCTTTTTTTGAGGGAATACCATCTTTAGCGGGGCCACCAAAAAAAACAACTTTTGGGCGCCACTGAACAACTGAGATGGGCTTCTGGCGCCGGAATCCCCCGGATCGATCCGTGAGCACGCCTGGCGTGTGCCCCTTCTTTTTGGCCAGCTGCATGGCCTCGCGCTGCAGATCCCGCACCTCGCCGCGGCCGAGCGCAGCGAAGCAAACACCCCGTGATCCTCCCTGAGCCAGGGGGTAAGTAGGTCCCCCGTTTCCAATTTTTTGGGGGGCGCGGTTTCCCTGATTTCATTTTTTTGGGGTGCCCGAATTCTATTTTAAGGAGGGGGGATATCTCGTGGGGCGCCCCTTAGGTCTGGCCAACCTCGTGGCCTCATCACTTGGGTGCTGTAGATCCCCCAGCAAACAGTTTCACTTTTGTTGCGGGTTAAGAGGAAATATGAGGGGAATGCAAAAAGTTAAAGTCTAAAGATCCAACCCAATAGCAGTAGAGATCATGCTTGAGTGATGGGATGGATCTTTTGGGATGGAACTGCAGCATTTTGGGATGTACCCTCCCACCCCTTTCAGCTGGAACCTGACGTTCGGGGCCCGGTCTCGAAAAACAAAACGGAACATGGTCCAAACCAGCAGCCCCTGAATGTCAGGTTCCATGAATTGGTGGGAGGGAAACGTGTATTCTGATTCCACTGCGGACCTAAGCATTCTTGAAAGTAGGGGGAACAAGAGAAATAACATTGCAAGTTTCAGTATTCTGTGGTTAGATGGGTGTGGATCAAAAAAGGTGCCCAAAATGGGCGCCCTGCTAAATGGAAACAAGGACGAAAACCTGCGGTCCAAGGTTTCTGCAAGCCTCGCGGGAACCAACCGATTTCGTGCGTTTTCTCTGCACAAGGTGTCCTAAACCTGCGATTCACGTTCGCGAAGGGTCCCGAGGCCTTGCATTCAAACCTTCCTGCTACAAGTATCGCCCCCGGTCGGGGTCTCAGGGCGGGCAAACGTGGAAGCGAAACCAAAAGGACACCAACGTGTAATACTTGTAAACATAATGCACATATGTCCGAAGCACACCAATTCTGGCAAGCAACATCCTAGGTCTGGGTCTTTGGGACACATTGTTTTTGGGAATACATATATAGCAAAACACATCTGTATGTGTCCGGCACATATATATATATATATATATATGCTCACCCCCCCCCCCAGGGCCTACCTTTCCACTTCAAAATGTACAAAACCCTCTTATTTTTAAGGACAGGGGGTGTGAGCATATATACGCAAGAAGTGTGCTGTTGCTGCATATTTTTTGTGGGTGACAAGTCATGTTGAGTAACAACAGCAAAGAGTTTATAAACCTTCAAGACAGTTTATAAACCATGTCAAGGGTTTGACGGTTTCCTTGCAACAAGGGCAGGGGGGGGGTACTGAGAAGTCTTTACAAAGTTGGCTGAGTCACACCTCACTGCTAAGACTTCCAACCAACCACCCCCCCCCCCCCTCCCAAAATTTCCAACCACCCCCCCCCCCTCCTTCAACGATACCATGAACACTTCGTAGGGTGTTGTTGCCTTGATGCGGGAAACTCGTCAAACACTCAATAAGGTTTATAAACTTTTCTGAAAGTTTATAAACCTTCTGTAGGCTTATTGCGTAGCAAGTGGAAACTATTGTTTGGGAAGAAAAGGACACACATTTGAGGCCTTGTTTGATGTGGTTTGGGCATGTGGTCCTAAAAGGTTGATGATTGTGTGTGTGTGTCATCACTGCTGCACTGTTATATCAAAGGCTGTCCTGTAAGCATCTGATTTATCAGTAGAGCACTCATTACCTCAATGGCTTGGTTTCTCAATGGCATCAAAGCTGGCCACAGGCTCAAACAAATGCAAAAACTGCAAAACTCCAGACCAATCAAGCCCTGACCTCTGACTTGCATCTGGGTTTTGCATTTTTTGTATTTTTTTGAGCCTGTGCAGGTTTTGGAGCTTCCAGGTTTGGATTTTTTGCATTTTTTTGAGCCTGTGCAGGTTTTAAGCACCCAAGGCTCCAAAACCTGCACAGGCTCAAAAAAATGCAAAAAATCCAAACCAGGAAGCCTCAAAACTGCACAGGCTCAAACAAATGCAAAAAATACAAAATCCAGACCAATCAAGCCCTGACCTCTGACTTGCATCTGGGTTTTGCATTTTTTGTATTTTTTGAGCCTGTGCAGGTTTTGAGCTTCCTGGTTTGGATTTTTTGCATTTTTTTGAGCCTGTGCAGGTTTTAAGCACCCAAGGCTCCAAAACCTGCACAGGCTCAAAAAAAAAAAAATCCAAACCAGGAAGCCTCAAAACCTGCACAGGCTGCAAAAAATGCAAAAATCCAGACCAATCAAGCCCTGACCTCTGTGGGTTTTGCATTTTTTGCATTTTTTTGAGCCTGGGTTTTTTTGCAGGCTCCAAAACCTGCACAGGCTCAAAAAAAAGCAAAAAATCCAAACCAGGAAGCCTCAAAACCTGCACAGGCTTGCAAAAAATGCAAAAATCCAGACCAATCAAGCCCTGACCTCTGACTTGCATCTGGGTTGTGCACTGTTTGCATTTTTTTGAGCCTGTGCAGGTTTTGGAGCTTCCAGGTTTGGATTTTTTGCATTTTTTTGAGCCTGTGCAGGTTTTTAGCACCCAAGGCTCCAAAACCTGCACAGGCTCAAAAAAATGCAAAAAATCCAAACCAGGAAGCCTCAAAACTTGCACAGGCTCAAACAAATGCAAAAATCCAGACCAATCAAGCCCTGACCTCTGACTTGCATCTGGGTTTTGCACTTTTTGCATTTTTTTGAGCCTGTGCAGGTTTTGAGGCTTCCTGGTTTGGATTTTTTGCATTTTTTTGAGCCTGTGCAGGTTTTAAGCACCCAAGGCTCCAAAACCTGCACAGGCTCAAAAAAAAGCACAAAAAACAAACCAGGAAGCCTCAAAACCTGCACAGGCTCAAAAAATGCAAACAATGCAAAAATCCAGACCAATCAAGCTCTGACCTCTGACTTGCATCTGGG